GGGCAAGGTTTTGGCGGAATTGGACCCGACACTGTGGGGGGAGGAGTGAGACAGAGGTTTTTCTTCTCTCCCACGCCACCTCTGAATATGACATCACCTCGGACCAATCCCTTTAAACTGGGACCCTGATTAATTCTGTCTGGGGTTGATATGTAAATCCAGTGGTTTAAATCATATGTACTGCTTTTTGCATCAACGCAAACAGAGATGGATTTGACTTTGGTTAGGGAAAACTCTGACCTCCTCCTATGGCAGTGAAGGTGTCATTGGCTTAAGGTTGTCTCTAATAGACCACAGACCCTTTCAGATGTAGGTTGTATTTAAACTTCAAAACAACTAGTCAGGTGAATGTTATTCTTTTGGACTTTTTACTCTTCTCCTTACACCTGAGTAAAATCACAGAACCATGTTGTTGCTCTAAGTGACAAAAGCAGAGAAGGATAAACATTAACAAGAAAACATGTAAAAGGACAAAAAAAAATCCTAGGTGTGCAAAAGACAAAGAAGGTTATGAACCAATGATCAACGACCAAGTGTTTGAGTAACCTGCTGGCTGCCAGTGGTACCACACTGAAACATCATTTTGTCATGTCCTCAAATATATCGTTCAGAGAACATTTATCTGTTGTGCAGTTTTTCCAGCTGAACTGAATTTTCTGTTTACACTGAAAAAATATGAAGTTTAAATGTAAAAGCTCATTGAATCAATATTGAACTTTTTTTCCCACAGCACAGCTTCAATTTTTAAAAACCTTAAACTCTTAAATTTGGCAGCAGGGCAGCTCTAGCTTCTTATTGACCCAGCCCTCATAAAAAATACAGTCAACAAAATGGTGACATAGTGACCCAATACATTACCCAGTACATTTCCTACATTAAGCATTGCTAAGATACTTGACCGTAAAGTCCCTCAACTTCCTGTGTTGGGCACAATGGGTTGGGGGCTTCGGCTGGACACACCATGTAATGATGACATAGATTGTACTCGACCAGCTCACCAGGAACACAATAACGCCCAGTGCTTACCCAGACGAGAGATTCACTTTGGCAGAAAGATTTTTACAAAAGTTTAAACAGTCACTGTTCTCTCTCTTTTACCACCTCACACAATCCCACACACACAGGGACACACACAGGGGCACACAAAGGCAAACTTTCATCGCTCCAAAAAAAGTGTCATGCCTACGTCAACAGTGACAAAAAAAAAAAAACTGCTGACTCCGTGGCCTCCCTGCTGACGGAGTTTGTCCTGAGAATTAAAACAGCAGAATAAAGGGAAGAGAAAAAGTGAGAAAGAGAGAGAGAGAAAGAGAGACTGAGTGAAAGAGAGAGAGCATAGAGACCTGGGAGAGTTATAATTAGCAAGTGATTAACGAGTGAGTGTCAGGAAAGTCCTGCATCATTGATTGTGATGATGTGCAGTGCTGCAGCAGCGGATATCAAGGTGTGGCCCCAGGACAGGGACAGAGAGGTCACAAGTCACATACACACAAACAGCAGTGGGTTTGCTTTTTGTCCAGCCTGCAGGGCCACGTCAACAAAGTGAAGTTAAATTCATTTTTGTCAACTGTAGATTTGATTTAAGAAGGATTAAACATGTGATGGGAAACGACCATTTTGGTTTTGTTTCTAAACTGGCATCTGTCCTCTCGGTTAGTGCAATAACACGGTGGGGGGGGAGAGGGCAGGGGGCACTCGGGCTCTATCAGCTATTAGCATTGAACCATAATAGATTTTATTTTGTATTTTGTCCAAGCTGGACTCTTCTGGTCAAAAAGATCTGATGAGGTGTGCGTTGTCCATTAAGGTGGTTGCTTGACTGGAAATGCACTATTTCTGGCACACGGTATCCTGAATCCCAGCCTGGGTTAAGTCAGGAACGACGTCGGGTCTAAAATCTTTGCCAAATGGCCGAGTACTACTGCTGTGTCAATCCTTGGTGAAGGAACAAGCTTCATTTCAAAGACAATAAACAATAGAGTTTATGTCTTGGAAGGACATGTGAGCAAAGAATGTATCAGCTGGTTGAGGAGAGGAAATCAAAATTAATACACACAGATCCTTTGTCTAAGTTATTGTATTTTTTTATATGTTTTTCATGTTATTACAGTAGAGAGAAGAGAACAGCTTTTTTTCTGTACATACAGTTGAGTGAAATGATCTTTGCATCTTTGAATCCTTATCCTTGGATTTAGTTTGACAGTTTGTCAGGAATCAGAGCGCTAATGTCTTTATTAATCCTCTTCCTAAGTGTCTTCAATGCTAGCTGTTGCTACAGTGAGTAGCCCATATACAAGGGCAAGCTGGCGACTCAACACTGACTCATGCGGCTCCAGTGAAACGGATCACACACAGTAACCTGAGTCTATAAAATGACCCGCTAACAGGATTGTGGGTCAGGTATTAACTGCACTATGGTTAAAAAATACCCACAACCAAAAATTAACTTTAAAAAAGGAGTCAGGGTAACTGCTACCTTTTGTACGTTCCATCTGTGTGGCCTCTTTCTGCTTTTACAGCCTCTGTATTCTCACATCACTTCTCTCCTGCTCTGTCCTGACCCGTCCTCCCTGTGATGATGAGGCAAGCAGCGCTTAGGGACATTCAAGCTCAGCTGTCACACAGAGGTACAGAAAGCAGAGGTGCACAGAGGAAGAAATGCTGAGGCAGCTCAAAGAAGATCACAGACCAGTCCCTCCTTTTCCTCACCCCTCCCGCTCCTCCCATCTTCCTCTGAGGGTTGGTCTGGAGCCAGCATCGGTGTACTTTATTCTACAGCTGTGCAGACACACACGCACGAGTGCCAGCCCATCACTCCAAGACTGACGTGGCCATGTGCTGACTTCCATTATATTCACCGCCAAACTAATCAGGCTGATGATGACAATGAGAAGAAATAAGAGGAGGAGAAACAAAGCACTTAAGGACTTGGCTCAGCTGCTGGTGCTATAGATTTATGTAACTGAAGACGTGAGATGAACCTGACCACGGAGGTAAGGAGAAGGTTTCAGGGCTGTCACCGTGTTAAAAAATGTAGATGGGACAATTTCAATACAATAAGCCCGACCTTAGTTTGATGGCTTCTGGGGAGCCCTCCCTTTGATAATAGGTGTATTAGCAAATCACAGAGACACATTCACAGACAATGCTCCAAAGAGTCCACTGAACTTTACTTAAAACACAAATTCTGACAAAATTATATTTTCATTGAACAAAACAAATCAAATTATAAATCAGTGAAATCTCTTCACTGTGTCAACACCAACTTTGGGAACCACTGCCCTAAGGGAAATCAATCTCTGTATTGAACCCATCCTTGAAAGTGACGGCCACTTGCTTTGATTTTCAATATACAAAGGTTCAAACCCAGTCAGGTGACATGTGGTGGGATAAAAGTATATGTTCTAGTCCCATTAGGTGTTAGAGTAAGTCCGCAGGGAAACACAGGGAAGGTGGGTGAGGATATACAGGCACGTCTTTGACTCTATCTCGCATCTCCACGCACACAATGTCTCACACCTACCTTGTCACTGTTGTAGTAGGCCAGGCTGTCACCATCGAAACGAACCCACCTCCTCTGAAAGACGCAGTTTCTGTAGAAAAATTAGGATTGAAGAATGAAACTCAGGACATCAGCCCATCAATCAAAAGACAACAGCTTTAACTGTAAAAAAAAAAAGTTAAAGAAAATCCACCGAGCTTTAACTATATTATACAAATATATATCATCAGCCAGCTGGTACTTTCCCTCTGAGCAGGTACTTCTACTTCATCAGTGTCACTGATTCATTAATTGTCAAGGGTTGAATCAACAGCGGCCAAATAGCATAATCAAAACAAATGGGTACTTTCAGCTTGAGCCCGGGGCCGTTTGTCAATGATGTGGTGAATTCAAAAAGGAAGTCGGTGTGGGGGGGGGGACTCCGAGTTCAACTAGCAGGTGGCTAGAGCCCATATAATGTGCATTTAG